CCCAGGAATTTGAATCCTGAATGGAGCAACATAAGACAGAAAATAATTGGAAGGAGTCAATTAAGCAAGTACCATGAAAGGTTCCTGGTTTACACATCCCTGAAACAACCTTGGTTCCTGATCATCCCAAGGCTTAATCAACAGCCTTGTTTTTGTTTCTTAGACCTACCTGATAGTCTTTCCAAAAATATGCCTGTTTCTTAAATTAAATAGTGCTTATTTTTTAGCTCTCAAAAAATCTTGACACATATAATGGCCCCCAGAAGTGAGATGTGGCTAGTGGTGGACCTAAATATGGAAATAGGAACAGGCAGCGAGGATTCGCTATCCATAGCCGAGAAGTTGTGCATATCATCCTTGTTATGCCATTGCAAAGCACCAACTACACGACTCCCTTCCGTCTTTTGGGACACAGTCCACATGCTTCTGTTGGCTAATTCTTTAAGGAAGATGGTAGGAAAATATTACGTGTGGCCATTTCTGATAAAATCCCCCAAATGACTAAGCTTCAGCCAAGAGAGCCTATCTGAATCAGAGAAAATTCTATCTCACCTAGACTGGTCCTTTCTCCTGATGAGAATCCTAGATGACAGAAAGTCAGATAACTATGAAAGACTATGAAATTTAAATCAATGCATCAATGATAACGCTAGAAAAGCACAGGAAGGATGGAAACAGAGCAAAAGATAAGATTGGGACCTAGAAAACTGAGACATACCTAGTCCCCCACACACCCCCTGATGTAAACTTCCTCCATGACTATGAGCTAAGCACAGGGATAAAGCCAGAGGATGAAGAACAAACTTGCCTTTATCCCAGAAGCAAAAAGATAAGCAGCAAAATTAAGGGCCAATAAATGGGCAGGGGAAAGTCCCCAGGCTGGGTCCCAGAGCCAAGGGCCAACCCACAGAGTGCAAAACTCATATAGATCAGCAGACTTAAGTTGCATTAAGCTGCCATAGAAACCTTAGAAAATAAAAAACCTTTCATTGCTCCAAGTATCCTAAACCACAGCACCACCAGAATTTGGGATGATGAAATTTCCCTCATTAGGAAAATCCTACTCAGTGTCCTTCTCAAATCTGTCCATGGAATTCATATGAGGCAACAGAGAGCAGGTTCAATGGTAGGCAAGCACATAAGGCAGTGAAGTACACTGACCACCTACATATGTGTCTTAGGAACTGAAGGAAAGAAATCTAATCACAGAGCAGTAATAGCTAAATATAATGACCTCTGTAACATCCAACCTAACATCCAAGTTAAGGGGGATCAGCAACTTTCTGCTACAGGGAAAAAATAAGAAAAGATTAACCCCAGAAAACAGGATTATGTGATAGAGATAAATGCAGAAAGGAAATTATATACCTTGAGTTGCTCTAAGAGAATGACTTTGATTTACAAAGAGTCTAAATCAAGTAAGAATATTTCTTTCAAACTACCTACATCCTATTGGTTTATAAGCTATGATACCCAAGACACTGGTTACCAAACAAAGCCACTTCAAAGGAGCTTTTGGATAGAAATCTGAGTGCGGACCCACCTTCTTCTGTGAAAAGTGAGCTCAGATGCTGCAATGCATCATGCAGCATCATGGTATCTATAGCAGTAGCTCTTAGAACGATCCCTCCAGGAGCGGCCCTGGCAAAAAGCATTCTTTTCCTACATCTTGGAACTCTGCCTCAAGCAGTATAACCTACACTGTACTTCTACTAAATGGCACAGAATCACTTGGAAGCAGAGAAAAATTTCCAATTCCATATGTCTAGGCTTTGCTAAAGAAAAAGGAAATGTAATTCTCCAGACCCACTACATTTTCCCATCACTGCCATCAACTGCCCTGAGAAAAGACCCACTAGAGGCAAACTATAAGGAATATTCATGTTCTGTGAGCAAAGAAAAGAAGATAAAGTGGGTAGGGTCACGGACCAGTAAGAGCAGGCCCAGAATGACTCTGAAGATATTTTAACACTGATAAACACTAGGCCATCATTTGGCTTATTAAAATAGTGCTGGATAGTGAGAGAAGCTGGCACATTTTCCTGTAGATGAGATGGCCCCGGGGGGTTGAACAAGAGTTAGAACACAGCTGCCATGGCTAAAACCAAGCAAGTGCAGATGTCACACCAAAGTAATTTCATATCATCCCATGCTGCCAATTTGAAATGCCAATGGAGGAAAAGTATTGAAGGAAGTCTTTAAAATAGACTAGATAACTGTTTTAAATACCAATTTTGTGTGTAACTAAAGTTTTTGCTGTTGAGGTCCATGAACGACAGTTGTTACAGTTTAGAGAGCTCAATAAAAATCTCTCTGCTCAGCAAGATGAACACAATACAATGTGCTGTTCTTCGAGTTTGGAACAGCCATATCAAATTCAAAGTCACTAGACATTAAATTCCCAATTCCAAATGTCTTTTTTAGGAAATGTTCTAGGCGATTTATTTCTCTTTCAGTAGTTGTTTTCCTTATAAGAAGTTCTGTATATTATTTCTTATGTTCATAACTGATATACTAAAAGCACATGGCACCACACTGTAGTAACTCATTTCTCTTAGAAAGATAAGACAGGGGAAGGGAACATTTCACACACACACGAAACCAACTTACCAAATGCCTTCTTAGGTTCTATTAACTTCATGGTAAAGAGTTCCTCTTTATTCAACTCCTTTAACTTCTTAGCAACTTCAAAGTGACGCCACCCAACAACATATTCTCCATTTATGGATTCAATATGATCACCCACACAGATTGTTTTAACTGAGTCAATTATGCTGCCCTCTTTAATTCTCTGAAAGAAAATTAAAGGTAACACTTAAAAAAAGAGCTGTTTAACATTACCTTTCATGTTCTTGAGATATTATATGCAATATATTGACATAGTAACAATGCAGTTTAATGCTCAAAGTTGGAAGAGCAAGCAACAAAACACAACCGTTTTACCTCTAACCATTCTTCTTCTCGTTCATCATTCAGAATTCAGCTCCATCACAGTCACCACCTCCTCTGAGAAGCTTTTCCTACATCTGCAAGCTGCTCCCCCAAGATTGGGTATGGTACTACTCTCACGCTTCTATAGTACTTTTTACTATATATGCTGAGCTCTAAGCTAAGCACTTTACATTCACTATCTCATTCAATTTTAATAATCTTAATGAAAGTCTCATGTCATGGATCAGGAAAACTGAGGTTAGGAAGATCAAGTAATTTGCCAAGTTCAACATAACTACACTGCAGTTGTTCATTTACCTCTCAGTCTCCATTACTGAACTACAATACCCTTGAGAAAGAAGGTGGTTTTATTCACCATTGTATGCCCTGTACCTAGCACAATGCTCACAGGGAAAAGTCCCTCCATAAATGATTGTTGAATTGTTTCAACAAGAGACCCATTACATAAGAACAGAGCTTGAGCTTTTTCTACTGGCTACGTTTTTTAAACCATAGTTATAAATGCAGAACACTCAAGACTTGGTACAACCTTAGCTAAGAAAACTGGTACCTAGTAAGAGACAACTGTGGTTACTGTTTGGGGAGCCAGTAAGAATGATTTTATACTATCATTTTTCATTTATATATTTTAGGTGAGGAGAATATAAGACTCAGGGAGAAACTTCAAATGGTCTTTCTTAAACCTACCTTGTTTGTGTATAATACATCTATACTGCAGTCTTAAAAAGAGGCCTAAGACTCCCAAAGATAGCATTAGGAATATCTGAAAGGATTTTAGGGACAGACACTCCAGATGACTGCATAGGAAATAACACTGCAAAGGATGTACAAGTTCCTCCACAGAGGTAAGGAATGGAGCAAAATGAAGGCCACAATCTGCCTCCAGTATCACAAATCCTTCATGGGAATGATAAGATAGAAATATAAGGGACTGCTGCTATGTGGCAGCAGGCTAATTGACCTCTGTGTCCACATGTTAAGAGAAAAACTGATCTCATGCACCCCAGCATCTCCATAACACTTCCATAAGAAAAAAATATATAAAAGACTAAACTCGGAAGGTTGGGCATTTTAAAATTTTATTACTAATATGCCAAAACCTCACAACAGATTTCTTTTTCACCCCAAAACTTTAAGAACACTGCTATGTTCATTGTAATAGCGTTAATACATCTTATGCAAATGACACAAAATGCCAATTCAAATACAGCTTATTATTTATCATTACAAATAGTTAATTATAAAGCAAAGAAACCAGAAATTTCATAATCTAAATAGCATTGTTTATTATGTCCATTTAAGCTATAGAAACAAACAAGGGTAATCATTCATAAAAACATAAACAAGATTAAACAGAACACTAGAGTCCAAAGCAACAAAGAAAAAAAAATTCTGCCACCTAACCATTCTTAAGCCATTAGAAAATGTGAAAATCTACATCTCTGACTTTTTTCTTAATTTTTATTCTAAGCTAGTTCTTGATACATTCCGAACCTATTTTTTCTTTGATCGACTACACCATATGAATTTCAGTTTCACATATTATTTTAAGACTTAACGTCATAATTTTATTTAAAATAAGCATTATATAAAACTAATTTAATGAAAGACTTTAAAGACATATATGAATCTTACCAGTAAATTAAAGTGCAGAGTAACAGAAACCTAGGGTCGCCTGGGCCTGTAAGTAGCCATAGGACTCACCAGAAGGGAGCCCAGACAGAGGGAAGAAAGGCAATTACCACAAGTCAATGGGCAGCAAGGTGAGAAATCCAGGTGGGCAAGAGAAAAGTCAAAGCATATGTAATCATTGGGGGCAGCAGAGAAGGATCTGGGATGAAAAGACAGGAAAATCAACATAAGAAACATGGAGAAGAGCACCAAAAGGAGAACCAGATATAGAAACAAAGTAGAAGACACTGATTATATATTTTGTGAGTTACCTGAGCCTTAGCTTCCTAATTAGATAGGATAAAGAATGAAGTAGCAATTGAGACAAATTTCTGAAATCTAATATATTTTGATAATCATACCATAACTTGATAGAGATTAATAATATTGCTAAAAGTGCTACTCAGGCACAAAAGACTAGGAAGGAAAAAAAAAGAGGTATTAATTCTTTACTTATATTTATTAAATCACTTAATATCATTTTCTATAACACTTAGAACTTTCATCTGACTTTGGAGCTTGATGCTGAAAGAGGCAAAAAAGACATTAAATATTTTTTAGAAGATAGGGTTTACAACATTATTAAATGTAGAGGTTCTCAACCATTTCACACCATTATTATAGTATTTTCCATTATTCCATCCTATATTTACAGAACTCAGTCTTCTCATCATAGATATCAGCAGAATTCAGAGTGGCATTCCAACCTCCTCAAAGTCTTAAGCATCAGATTCAAGATTGTTTCAGCTAGATGCCCCACTGCCAGGGTCAGCAGCTTTGAGATCTGTGCTGCTAACTCTCTCAACACTGTCCTCAAATCTTGTTCATCATAACAAAGTAACATTCATATAACAATTGTAAATAATTATTTCATTTAGTCTTCACAACAAGCCTAGGAGGGGTATATTTAAGATTCCATTAGTTAATGAGGAAATCAAAGCACAGTAAAACATAGCTTAACCAAAATAGCATAGCTAATAAACAACAGAATTAGGTTTCAAATGAAAGTGGTATAATTATAAAACTTCATGCTCTTTCCACAAAACACTCAGAATCAGACAAATCTAACTAACTTAAGATCAAAAGCTAGTTTAAAAAATAAATAAATAAAAGTTAGATGCCCCCAAGAGCAGAGTTTTGGAGTATAGCTGTCCAAAATGACCTATCACTTTGGTAATCATTTTGCAATACATAGTGTATTAAATCAGCACATTGTGCACCTTAATTTACATGTCAATTAAGTTTAATAAACATGATGTGTCAACATTATATGCCAATTATATCTCAATAAAGCTGGGGGAGAAAATGGCCTACATCTGAAATCTCTTTTTTGACAAGACCCATCTTTCCTTATTTTTGCTTAATTCTACTAAGCTATTCTTCATCTATAGTATGGCCTGCAGATCGCAAACCTTATCTATTTTCTCAGATCATCACTTCCATTCTGGCTTTACATTCCTCTTCTCAGAGATCCTAGCTTCCATCCTAGAATCCTCTGCCCATTTGAACTAGCACATTTCCAACCTTGCTGGATAATTAAGTAATCACAACGCTAGAAATATATAAGTACCATATTTTTCAGAATGAAAATTATGCTAAAATGTAATTAACTTAGTTCTACTAAAGTAAAAGTACTCCAAATCATAAAGATTTCTACAAGAGGAAAATCTGAGAATGACAGTTTTGTGGTTATTTGTAAATTACTTAATTCAAAATGAATTGTTTTTTAAGTCAATTTAGCCTCATTTCTTAATTACATGGTATGAGCCCTTATTTTTATTTTGAATCAAAGTATAAGTCTCTTAAACTAGGGATCAGCAAATAATGGTTCATACAGCCACTTGTTTTTATACAGCTGATGAGTTATGAGTGATTTTTACTTTTGTAAATGGTTGGATGTGGGGGAATGAATAGTGTGACATGTGAAAAGTATACTAAGCTCAAATTACGGTGTACATAAATAACGACACTGTTTTACTGGATGACACCTATGCTCATTATTTAAGCATTGTATATAACTATTTCTGTGCTACAATGGCTGAATTGGGTAGGTGCAACAATGATTGTATAACCCTAAATCATAATGAACCCTAAAATATTTACTATCTGGTCCTTTATAGAAAATGTTTGTCAACTCCAGTTTTAAACTGGAATTTATAGATTTTGTTATTTTATTATTTAAGTATACTCTGAATTTTCTGATTGAGTTATATATATACTTTTTCCTGGAAAATGTTGAAACTTGGGTAGTAAAATGTTTAAGTCTGTTGTTTTTTTACTGAAGAGTTTCATCTGTTAGAATCATGCAGTATGAATACATTTCTCTGCCACTGATCTCATTTCCTAATTATGTGATGACTGTTATTACTATTAAGCTATTAATTACGAGTACTGTAAAACATTTTATATGTGTCATCATTTTATACTCAAAGAGTCCTATAAAGTAGGTACTAATATTCCCATTTGCAAGAAGGCATAACGAAGTTTAATGAGTTGTCCAAGTTCACATTCACACACAAGTGGTTGAATCAACACAAAGCAGACCTGATCGCTTCTAAAGCCCATGCTCCCATGCATCTTACTGCACTGCCTTCCCAATCATGGAATCTTCCCTCTTTACCTTGCCCTTGTCTGAATCCCTACCACACTGTCCTACTCTTATTTCAGCCTACCCTGACTTCAGCCACTGCTAAAAGCATACAAGTATTCACTTCAGCAGCACATAACGTAAATTGGAACTATACAGAGAAGATATACACATCATCCTTGTGCAGGGCCCATACTAACCTCTTAGAAATTACCATTTTATTTCCTGCTTATCTTGGCAAAAAGAAACACTGGAATGGTAAGCCAGAAATTGATGAAATTGATTACTTCTAAGGAAAGTGAGAAATGAGTAATGAGATAAAAGGTATAGAAGGAGTGACACATCTCTGGATATATTTTTTAATATCGTTTTGACTTTTGAATCATATTAATATTTTACAAAGTTGGAAAAATTTTAAGTCAACAAGAATGAGGGGGGAAACTCAAACTTAATTCAGGGAAGCAACTGGATTCAACAGTATTTCAAATGAATAACAATCATGGGTTGGGGGTGGGGCAGGAGAAAATCTATTCCAAGTAACTTTCAAATAGAATATTCTGAATATATACATACATTTTGTTTAAAGATGAAAAAATTCATACAAATCTTGAATTTTTGTTAACAAGTTTTATTTTTCATGTATGAATATAGTAACTCTAAAACTATTTTGTGTATATTGTAGAACTAAGCGAATGAGTAAATTGAAATTTCAATGATTTTGAAAAGTAAATATCTTAATGGGGAAGCCAAGAAGAATCCTATGTGGCAGGATTAGAATTTGAGGCATAATTATAAATTTATAATTTCTAAAATACATGTTTTCTAACCCTACACTGAAAGGACCTAGAAACAATGACACTCCAATAGCAACGACAGAGTACAACTAACATCCAGCTCTTGATGTTGAAATAACCAGTCCTCACTAAAAAGACAAGAGCTCCTTAAGGAAATGGTTGATTCCAGACTTGGGGAAAAGAAGATAATGAGATGAGCCTAGAACATCTTGTTGTGCCAGAAAGGATGAAACCGCTAAAATGATGGGAGTAATGTCAAAAGGATACAGGAGCCGGCTGAAAGGGACTCTTGCAGGCCACGTCTCAGAAAATTTGAGCATTGACTATAACCCAATGAATAAAATAAGATTTTATGGGCCCATGATGATAACAGATAAGCAAATAAATATAAGGAGTGATTTTTTTTTTTACAATAGAATGTTTTAAAGAAATATGTAAGGAATTATGGAATTACAAAAGTCACAATTTTGCAAGCATTATAGTAAAGACTGATTCAGATAAGACTTACCAATAGATGTGAAATTCATGGGATACAAGTAAGAGAACAGGATATTTTCATAATCTCAAAGTATCTCCCCACAAATTATTACAAAGAAAAATATAACTTTGCATTGAATAAGACTGGAAGACTCTACTTTAGACAAATGACAAAAATTAACATCATAAATAATGAGACAAACCAACATAATGTACCTTCTGATCTAGTACACTGAGAAGGACACATCACTTATCTAATTTCCCTGCCAAAAATGCATAACCTGTTTTTCAACATAAGGAAAAATCTGAAAAGCCCAAATTGAGGGATATTCTATAAAAGGCTGAGGAACTTTTCTAGAATAAAGATAACTAAAAAGCAATGACAACTAAATGAAATACACGATCCTATATTGGACCTATACTAGGGGGAAAAAATGCTATAGAGGACATTATTAGGACAATAGATAAAAATTCAATACAGACACATTAGATTAATTTTAAAGCATTATATCATTGATTTTCTGAATTTCATTGCTGTACTACAGTTATATATAAGAGAATATCTTTGTTCTAAGTAACTAATTCTGAAGTATTAACAAATAAAGTGATAATATACACAATACACTGTTTCAAATGATTCAGGGAAAATTACATATATGTATGTGTGTATATATATACACACAATATGTGTATGTGAGAGAACAATAAAGCAAATGGGGCATATGGTAAAAAATTGGAGATCTGAGGAAAAGGTTTTATGGGAATTCTTTGTGTTATTACAGTCTTTCAGTAAGGTTGAAATTATCTACCCCTCAACTGTTTAAAAATCCTATCACCGTGTACACAATATAATATTCATTTCTCTTCTGAGTTGAACTACATATTGGCAGTTTGACTTATGCACCACTTCTCTTTGCCACCATGCTCTCTATCTCAACAGGACTAGTGACTTGTACTCTGAGGAAGGCACGTTTGACGAGGCATTAAAAAAAAATAGAAACACAAGCTCTGACCATCAGAGACTAAGATCTAAAATATCCATGCATATTTGCAAAACTTCCAAGCCCTTCCCTGCTGACATTAGAAAGGCATTGCTGAGTGTGCCTCATGTCCTGAGCTTCCCCCAGATAATCCCACATGACTTTCCCAACTCACAGATTTTCCATTTGGTCACCCACTCAACCTTCAGCACAGTCATATCTTCTGCAGAGCTAAAAATAGCCATTCGAACAAGTGAGAAGTTAAATAAGGTATTATTTACAATTAAGAAGATAACTTCCTTAAGACCATTTTTTAATAATTACAATGCATCAGTAAATCGAGGATTTGAATAAAATAAAGGCATGAAAACATGCTCTGTTGCATGAAGTTTATCATTATTCTTAGCTCAATGGGTAGGACTGCCAGCTCTGGACTCAGATCTCTTGGATTCAAATCCTGAATTTGTCCAGCTGCAAAGCTTTGAGCAAGCTACTTAAACCTCCTGATCCTGTTTTCTACTTCTGTAAAATAGAGGTTAATAATGGTGTCTACACACAGATGAATCTCAGACATTATCTTAAACAAAAGAAGCCAAAAACAGTAGCATACATAATATACGATTCCACTTATATGAAGTTCCAGAACAAGCAAAACTATGGTGATCAAGACCATAACAGTGGCTACTTTTGTGGAGAAAAGTATTGACTGGGAAAAACACAAGGAGTCTTGTAGGTGGTGGAAATTAAAATTTCCTTGATCTGGGTGGTGGTTACACAGGTGTAAGCAAACATTCATTAAGCTATATATTAAAATTTTATTAAACCTCAATAAAAAAGTAAATAAAAAGAAAAAACATAGGATCGACCAAATAGAATTGTTGTGAGGATTGAATGCGAAAATATATGCAAAGTACCTGGTCCACAATAGGCATTCGATATAAGTCAGGGTTATGACAACTAGTTATTTCAAGAATAGAAATGTTATTTTTAAGAGATAAATTTTCTTTTTACCACTCCTCAGTTCTTATAGTTTTTCATACCATTTCAAACTTCCTTCTCTTGCACTTGCAGCTCTACATTGCTCTCTTTGTATTACATAAAGAAATTATGTAGTTTATACAATTTGAAGAGCATTTTTAAAGAAGTAAATAAGGTAGGCAAAAATAAGTATACTTGGAAATATCACTAAATCAATGGAAATCAGCATGGAAGTCATCAATCAGGTGTTAATAAGCTACAGATCTACGGGAAAGTTTGTATGGATAATGAGGCACCACGGCCAGGTTGTCAGTAAGTTCTAAATTCTAGAGGAAGTTTAAAATGAACAGAAGAAAAGGAAAGGGTAAACAAAAACTGATGTCTTTGAAACATTTTTTAAACAAAACATTACCA